AGTTGTTCCAGATGAATGGACAACTGAGGCATTCACTAAATGGTTGAACTCGAGGGATCCGACGCCTCTCGGAAACTGAAAGAAAGCCTGCTCGAGTTCCAAGCAACTACTTGGGCGGATGTCCATAACCGTTATGACTCAAAAATAAGGATAGAAGATGATCAGCTAGGTTCCCGGTGTTAACTAATGGTCAGGATTGAGAAAAGAACAGGGATAAATCAAAGGATGATTTTGATGCAGATCGACGGTCTTCTAAGGGTCGTCTATTGTCTTACGAGAGGGACGAAAGATGCAACAATTTATGGTGTGAATATCATGGGATTAATGCCACAACCGAGACAACACAGAGCCCTCGAAGATAGGGGAAGACCCTCATCGACTAACTATCGATATGATTTTCTATGGGTACGAGATCAACGGTATAACCTTCTCGGTAGCAAAAAAGACAAAGCTGTCGGTGACTCATAGCAAAAGACTCTAGGAAGTCGCTGAAGACAACATCACCTTCACAGAAGAAGACACCGATGGACTCCTTCTGCCGCACAGTGATGCCCTGGCACTTAGCTAAGATCGAGATCACGGTGGTTATATGAACCTTATTGTGTTCCTTGATCCTCTTATACCTATCCTTCATCTGGGCACACTTTTCCTCAGCAACAACGACTTCTTCAACTTTGGAATTCAAGGTTGCCTCCAAGTTATTTACTCTTTCAATGGAGGCAGACTCGCGTTCGATAGTAGCAATCACCACATCTTGAACTTCAGACCACTTAGCCTTAGCTTCTTGGAATTGAACATTTAATTGAGAAGCTTCTTAACTAGGGGCAATTACTTCCTACTCGCTAAGCTGCAGCCGTGCCTCATGATCACTCGCCTCAGCAGCTTTCGCTTCTAGCACCGGGAGGCGCGCCACAAGTTAATTATCGGCTAACAGCTGATCCCGCTCGGACTTGAGTCCTTCTATATCAAGGATCAATTTCTGAAGGCCCTCGGAAGTGAAGAAGTTGGCCTGTAAAGAAAATATCTAAGTTAGAAACCTTGTCATAACAAGTCAAGAAGAAGCAAGCAGCAAAAAGGACAAGTACAATACCGTTACTGCGTTGAGCATGGCAATTTTACCATGCACTCCCCCGACAGAGAGTGTATTTTCTTCTTATCTTTCTCTGAAGCCAGCGACTTCAGATAATTGGCAAGTTCCACTGGCCTGGACAACAGATAGCACTCAGTTGACACTGAGAGAGAGACACTCATCCTTTTCTAGGGATCTGCAGAAGGGGGCTAGTAGTTGTGCCCCAAATTCCCGTGGTCTGGAGACTGGGAGGAGGGGCATCCTCTTCTCGGGCGTCTGCGATCGGTGGGGGAGATGTAGCAGTTGTTGGTGATGAAGGTATGACTGGCGTGGAAGGAGATGAACCTGATGGTGTTGTATGTTGAGAAGCAACTGCGGTAAAGGTAGTGTTGTTTGTTGGTTGCTCACCAACCGAAGACGGAAAGGGCCCAATATTCGGACTCATAGTACCAGGAGCAGCAACTGGGACCGAAAAGGGAGAATTGGCATTCTCCACTAAGTCAAATTCTCCCTAGAGCGCTCGGGCATCGTCCTCGGTTGGGGTTCTAAGCTCTTCAGACCGAGCATTCTATTGAGCTAATGAAGGTTGTTGTCTTCTTTGCAGGGAAGCCTCTTCATCATTGGCTTGCCCATCATCGTTAATAACCATAGTGGCTGGGGATGGCTCGGGAGCATCTTTCTTCACTTTTTCATTCTTACCCTCGGCCGAGGAAGAATGCCACCTTTTTGGTTGCTTGTTCTCCGGTCGGGGACTCTGAGAGGAAGAACTTGCACCGGAAGCAGACCCGAGGGCACCTATTCGGGTGAGAACCTCCTTCAAAAACCTCGCAGCCTCTGCGGGATCGACCAAAACATCCTCCTCAGGGATAGAAACAGACCCCCGCGGGAGACCTGAATCCAAAAAAAAGGTGGGGTTAGCCAATTTTCCTATGCACAAAGATAGAATGAAGGCAAAATCAGTTTACTGTGATTCTTGGCCCTCCAACCGTACTCGGGGGCCAACACTTTCCGCCGACGGGCCTCAGGCGTGGTTATGTCCAAAATTTTCTAAACCCACCGGTCCAAGCCTTCAATCCTTGGTGGAGTCCACAAGTTACTAAGATAATGAATGGAGAAGGGTTAGCAATGACATGAAACAACCTTTTTTTAGAAAAAGAGATGGACTTTGAACTTACGTGAATGAGTCCAAAACTCAGGAAGGATGGAGTTGTGGCCGGGATGATATCCCTGGTGGAAATGACGATAAACCGCTCTATCCATCCACGATCATTATCGTCATCCATGCTGATAAGCAATGCATGATGGCCACACTTGCTGAAATTTATTACTCCCCCGCGAAAGATCTTGGGTGAGTAGAGGTTCATCATATGAGCCAAGGTGAGGGGCTCCTTCGTTTCATGGCACAGCCGCCGCAGACAAGCCACGGTTCGCCACACCAAAAGGCCCACCTGTGCCAAATAAACCTGGTACCGGTGGAAAATTACGGGATCAAGTACCCTTCTCAAAGAAAACGGTCTAAGAGTGAATGGATACTTGTAAACATACGTAAACCCCTTCTTAGTAAAGGTCACTCGCTCCACTAGATCGGGATTAATAATGTTTAAGGCGTGGTAGTCATAGTCCTCCTTCATGGCAAGAATACTGGAATGGCGAAGTATTTGCCAACAACCTAAGTGTGAGAGTTTGACGTAGAGAACTTATCTTCGAAGTCCTTGGCTGTGTTGAGACGTGTGGGGATAATGGTGCTTATCGTAAGAGGATCGACATCAATATCGGCCTCTTTATCTTTTCTCCTCTTCGGGCCCCCCACCGAAGAGAAGATCGGAGTTCTTGAAAGAATTAGTGTAAGAAGCCATAATCAGCAGAAGGTGATAGGAGTTTTTTGAAGAAGATCAAAGAAAGGTGGAAGCAGAAAGAAGGTTAATGTAGAGAAGTTGAGAAGAGTTTATGAAACTGGTAGAAGTGAAAGAAGAAGAATGAGGCGTATAAGTAAAGGAATAGGCGGCTAAAATCGTGGCCCTGATTATCTCGAGAACTGATAAAAATATTACTAAATAATGGAGTAACACGTCTCCGGGATATTAAATGCGAGGAGACGTGCGTCTTATCAAGCGTCAGAAACTTTTCAGATAGGTTCAGAAAATTTTCTGCCAAGAAAGGGATCTTCACCAACTTCCCGGTGACACAAAGATCTGCCACGGGAAAGCAGGGGGACTATCTGTATAGGGTAAATTTGGTGCATATTAAATGCTCGAATGACAGAGTAACACGTGGAATTGAGGGCATACAGAAGATGAAGCAAGTGAAAACCAAGACCGCGGACAACAACTTCGGCTGGCACCGGGTAGATCCCGAAGGGAACATAATCAATGAGAGCAAGCAAATACTTGTCACCAGATGATATTCAATGAAGAATATTCCTCAATATTAAATACGCAACTGTTATAGAGAATTTTGGCATTGATGGCCTGCCGTTACATATTCATCAATGGCCCCCACTATTATCATTTAAGAGGGATTTAATCCTAGGACCTTGTTCCCTAGGTATAATTATAAATAGTGGCTTCAACGACCATTGAAAGACACAAAAAATTCTGACAAACTTATGCTACACACTATTTCTAGCTAAATAATATTTTATTTTCTGTCTAACGTTATTCTTGTTGCTGCCTTCGGAAGCCTTGCTCTTGGAACCGAGCTATATGTTATTTTATCTCGATTTCAATGCTAAGTCTTGTATTTCATTTAATTTATTTATCATTTTAGGATCAAATCGATCCGCTTGTCTATAAATTATGTTATAAATTTAACTGTACCATTTTACGGGTAAACAAATACAACAATAATGGAAAAGAAAAACGATAGCGTAAAAGCCATGAAAATAAAACAGTAATAACAACAAGTAAATATGTGACCAAAACGAAATAACCAACAGATAGTAATAGGAACCAAAGAATAAGAAAATACGTAGTAATACTACTGGTATGGAAAAGAAGAATGCTACTACCTACTAACTTCCTACCATAATTTTCGACCTCCCCACCCTACTATCAAAGGGGCATGTCCTCGCTAAGCTAAAGACGTGTCACGTTCTGCCTACTCAACTTTTTGCTAATATTTCTTCGGTCTACCTCTACCTCTCCTAAAACCTATTATAGCCAACTCACAAAGCATTTGGGCCTTTCCTTTCAACATGCCCAAACCATCTCAGCTTCGCTTCCTGCATTTTGTCCACCGCTGAGGCAGCTCCCACCCTATCTCAAAATATATTCATTCATGATCTTATTTCTCTAAGTATGCCCAACATCCATCTCAACATTTTCATTTTTATTACTTTTATCTTTTGGACATGTGAACTCTTGATTCGCCAACACTCTGCCCTATACAGCATAGTTGATCTCACAACCACTCTATAGAACTTGTCTTTAAGTTTTGATAGCACATTCTTATCACATAGGACATCAAATGCGAGCCTCCATTTCATCCATCTACTCCAATACAATTTGTGTCTTTCAATTGCCTTGAATTATTGACTCAAGATATTTTATTTTTAATTAACTAGAAAAAAATTAAAAAGTCCTAATAAAAAGTGTTTCTTTTTTATAAGTCTTACACGATGAAAATTGGTTAATAGGGAATTCTAAAGTAAATCAAATATATAAAATGAAAAATAAGAAAAAATAAATGTTGTGCCGGGGAACCCCAATAGTAGGAGAATACCATATGGGGAAGTGGGGTTGGGGGGTGTTACGTGGTATGGGAAAAGGAGAAAGCAGTATGGAGTATTCAAGTAGTATGTATTCCGCTAGTTTCGAGGTACGCGCGGGAGTAAAGGTGGACAAAAGGCGTCGGTTTGTAGGTAAAAAAAAAAAAGAAAAAGAAAACCTTCCCTCTTTTCTCCTGTGAGTGGACGGTTGATTTTTATTCTCTCAAAAAGGACTCTGTTTTTGTGTGGAGAGGAGAGCAACTCTCCTTTCCCTTTGTTTGTATCTCACTTTTTGTTTTCCTCTGAATTTTCCTTTTCCCTCTCTCTCTCTCTCTCTCTCTCTCTCTCTCTCTCTCTCTCTCTTTTTGTTGCCTGTTTGGTTTGCTTCATTTGATCAAGGGAGAGTGGTGGGAGCTCGGAATCAATGGAAATTCCGGCGAAATTCGTTAGCTTCACGCGCTGCTAATGGATGAATCGTCGTCGCCATGGATATTTCTGTGTCCGAAGGACCTCCCTCTTTGTCACCGTCTCTCCACCAAGGTCCTCCCTTTCCTATTCCTCCTTCTTACTCTACGCGCTCATTCTCCTCTGTCTCTGACACGCACGTACTATAATTGTGTTAATTTTGGGATTGATCACTGTAATTGTTGAGGTTAATGTGCGCTGTTGTGATATAAATTAAAAGCTGTTTTTTGTACCTTATCAATCAGTTATTTGAGTATGAAGTGGATGTGTAGGGGGAAAAAGGTCTTTATAAGCTATAATTTGTTTTTGCATTGATGTCTATGGGGATTTTCTTGTGAAAAAAAGAGCTTTTTCTTTCCCCTGTGTAAAGTTGATATGCGTATAAATGTGCTTTAATTCTAAGTAGATTACATGCAGGCATACATAATATAAAACCTGAGGGTGTTGATGAAGCTTGAATGAAGATCATGAGAGACCAGGGTTGAAATCCTAGTTAGTACATGTTTTTTTACGTCTTGCCTTCGCCTTAATGGACAAAGTAACCAGGAAGTGGTAGCTGTAATGGTTTAGGATTCAAGTTCTGGCGGAATAGTCCTGGTGTGCCGCAAGTTAGCCGGATCACCACCATTATCCAATATATATAATATGTAAACCACACATCTTATGTGTATGTAAGCATACTACACAAACAACCAATTACAACTACCAAAGGCGGATCTAGGATTTGAACCTTATGGGTTTCTAGCATTTGGGCAAAAGTGATACTTTCAGCTAGTAAGAAAGTTTTTAATGGTGGCTGGTCCATTTTTAAAAGAAACAGAGAAACAAAAAAGTGCCTACAGGTGTTTGTTTTGTGAAAAACCGAAAGTGAAGTTAAAATGTGTACTAAGGGATTTGAACCCTTGCCAGATACGGAACACAGCAAAAGTTGGTTCCTTTGTTTGCCAATGAACCAACAACTGACTTTAGTTATGGGTTCCACACTAAAATTACTTATACATTTAATAGATTTCTCAATACAATTACAAGGTTCGGGTAAAAGTTACTGGTTCCAGGGAACCCGTACCCGATACTGTAGATCCGCCCCTGACAACTACGCCGTACATATATGAGTGGCGGATTCAGGATTTAAACTTGATGGATTCAACCTTTAAGGTTCTTAGGATTGAACCTATTACATGTTTAAAATTATGTGTTCAGATCTAATATTTCCTGCAATTTTACTGAGTTTTTAATCTAAATTTATGCTTCGTATTGAAAATATTGAGTTCGGATGAATCCGGTGCCGAAATGCTGCATCTGTCTCTACATATATGTGCTACATATGCTTGTATAGTATGCGTCTGTGTGTTTATTATATATATACACTTGTATGTGCATGTAATGTGTGCGTGAGATAGACATTTCACAATTATTTTTCATCCCTCCTTTCTTTTACCTACTTTTGTAGTATTAACTATTTTTCATCCCTCCTTTCTTTTACCTACTTTTGTAGTATTAATAGTTGACTCTTTTGACCCAGAACCAAGTATGAGTGACCAAGTAGAATAATTGGTCAGTAAGACCATATGAGCAAAGTAAATTTCATAGGGAACTGCCAATCTGCTCTATGTTTATGCATTGATTAATTTCATATACGGCTAAAAGAAAGTTGGTACATATTCGATCAAACTCTTCCCCTTTCATCAAAAGAAAGAAAGAAAGTAGTACATGTCTAACTGTGACTGTAAGTAGGGATGTGAGGTTGATCAAGTAGGACGCTTTTCTCATGCATTGAAAAACTTATTTACGTGTAATGAACCTAAACTACGTAATATAGTGCTTGTCAACTTGCCTTTATATCGACCTTCAAGGACTAACATGTCAACTGGACTTGCAAGACTTATGTCTTGTCGTTTTATATATATATATTTTAAACTCTTCCTTTCTTTTTTGGAGAAAAGTGTATATCTTGTCAATGTGTTCAGAGACACACCGGCATTTGATAATTTCTATCTTGGAGAAACTCAAGTTATTTTGTTTGTAATACTGGTCAGAGGTGTAATTACTGATTTAACAAGATGCCTATCTTACAGAATAATAAATGTATGGTAGTGAGATTGGTATTAAAGGATAATTGAATTAGATTAATGCAACATTTAATACCATTATTTATGATTCCATCCTGTTGGTATTTCAGACTCTTTATGGCAAATGAATTTGAGATCAATGGAATCAATGGAGTCTGGACCTTATCCTGTTCGTGAAGGTGAACCAGATTGTTCTTATTACATCAGAACCAGTCTCTGCAGATTTGGATCAACTTGCCGATTCAACCATCCACCTAATAGGAAACTGGTAAGGAATGCATATCTGTTAATAGGGGGAAAAAAAGAAAATGAGAAAACTTAAACTGACGAGAAATGTATTGGTTTGGGTCAATTCACTTTTTAATAGTCTTTGAAATGTTGGTGACATGCCTCATTTTGTTGTCAGCCTCTCACTAAGAGAAAACCAGTTAGTGTAGTCAGTCTACATATATATATATATATATATATATATATATATATATATATATATATTTATATGATACTAATATACTACATGAAGGTAGGAAGTTGGCAAGTTACCCATTTTTGCTTTACCCAAAACACCCGTGTTAATGCTCTATCTCCTTGACAAACTAGTGTCAGAATCCGCGCGATGCGCGGAACTTTGACAGAATACTAATAAGATTATTATCTGATATATCATATTGTTGTAATAAATATTAGCTGGTTTTATTTATTTAATATAGCATGTAGAAATATAACAAAATCTATACAAATCAAAAGATACACATCATATAGTCATCAAATAACTTATTTATTTCTTATTTATTCTTTATTAAATTAGTAGGTACTTACTAAAGATACGTTTACTAATGTGACTACAGGATTTTTTTAATTATATCTTTATATTTTTTATTTATTTCTTAGAATTATTGTTTATGTTTTTGCCTTTAGTTTTATCTATAAAAATATTTTTAGTTGCGTGATCTTATCCATATAGCATGACCATATGAATTATTATTCAAAAGCTTTCTCATCTTAAAAATAAATTAGGCTTATCCTTTTGTATATCTTTACATTGAAGTTATTTATTTATATAATAGTTTGATTTAAAATATATGAATATTTAATTATTTCTAATTCAATTTCAACCAGAATAACTAATTATTAAGTAACCTAACTAATTTTATTCTAAAACTACTACACGTCTTTCTCCTTCGACATGAAGTAAAAGACTTCAGTTGTAGCTACAATAAACTTTATTTCGAGATAACCATTTATATCCCTTCTGTTATTGGTGAAATTGAGCATAGTTGCAACGGAGCCATTGAAAATTGAAACAGACAATGTAAAATGGTAGTAAGACTTAAGTCCTTCAATTGCACTTAGCTTGCTGAAGAGATATTATTCCCAAATGCATTTTTAGCAAGAACCATAACTGAAGCTTTCATCCCTACTACAAACTCACTCTCTCCATTCTTCCATGACACCATACTTGCAGATGGATAGTTGTTATCTTCACACATCATAATTAAGTAAGGAACATATGATAAAGATAAAAAGCTACCGACTTTAGCTTTAAATTTCAGTGTGTGGCTGAGACATATTTGCCATTAACTTTATTAGACCAACATATATGTAAATCGTATCAAATTAATCCAACAAACAAAAACTATTCTATCGGATGCTTATATACTCCAACAATAACAACAATAATTAAAGCTCAAACCAAAACAATTTGGAATCGACTGTATGAATCCTCACTAATCATGTTACTCAAATAAACTTATCTCATGCCTATATTATACAACATCAAAATAAAGTACAAAGTACAATAAATACTTTATATTTTCTTCTAACGTCAAATCACTTACAACTCCTATAAAAGTAAAAGTGCTTATATTCACCAATAGAGCATATGTTTAATTGGCCGAATCTATGTTCTATAGTCAACAATGATATTTCCATAACATGATTTAGATAGTGAATAAGGGAACCTGAAGTGACTTGAAAATGCATGGAAGAATCAAAAACATTGTAGTGATCATCAGTAATCAGCACATTGAACAACCCACTCATGATTGGAACGAATGAAATCCTCCAATCCTCAAAATTACTGCCAAAATTAAACGAAACCCGAGAAATGTAAGAGTTGTTTTCCATCTTATCATTGACACTGATGTTGGGATTTAAAATGTGCTTGGATTTGCTAGGATCAAAATTTCCAATAACTTCGACAACAATTGTTGCCACAGCCCCAACCACAAATGTATCATTGTTGTCCACCCAACTAAATGCAAAATTAGGAACTGCTACATCTTCTGCACACACACACACACAAAAAAACACAGAGGAGTGTGAATTTACTTATATATATATTTGGATTTTGTCAGTAAGGAGTTTGAATTACCTGGTAATGAGGAGTGTGTATGTTTGAATAACCTAATAACATACTCCTTTGAAAGGTAGATTCATATATATCATATTGCTGATAAATTCCATATACATACAAATTGGTACACAACTATGTATTCTACTTTCAGAAACAGAGAAAGAGAAATATTGGTAGCAGACATAATTGTTTCATTAGTACAATTTCATGTATTTGAAGATTGTGAAAAATTTATCCATTAAAGTAGCATAGAAGAGGACTACATATAATCGTTTCATTAGTACAATTTTATGTACTTGGGGATTGTGAAAAAGTTATCCATTAAAGCAGCAGAGAAAGGATTAACATAAAAACTATATGAAAGTACAATTTTACCTATGCATCGGGTAAAATCTAACTCTATGGAATATGGTATTTCAGGCTTGAAACGATTCGGATTTTTCACATTCGAACGACTCCAACTCAGATTCAATTGCATTGATGCTTGAAATTTATCTGATTGTAGCCATATTTGCAAAGTTGTTGTACTACCGAGCGGAGAAAATAGGGATTGGAAAAGGAATTTAACATATGAAACCGCATAAATCGTGGGTGATACTCCGACTGTTTGAGTTAGTTTAGAATTGTTGTTGAACCCCCACGTTTGCGAAGATGATGAGTCGTGGGTTACCCTCACGACTATTCTTTGTAAAAAAAGAAGAAGCTAATTCCAGGTAGTTTTTATATTTTCTTAATTGCCAAGTTAAATAAGTAAATAAAATAACTATCAAACGTGGGACGTATCCATTTTTGTGAATATATCTTTCTGTGCCTTTTCAAAAGAGAAATATTTTATTCTTTTCTTAATTTTCAAGTCTTATAAAAAAATAAAATAACTGCCCTAAATAAAATAACTGCCCAATATGGCAGGCAGTATCAATCTTTTTTGTGAATTCGTATGGTTGAATCTTTTTTGCCTATTTTTAGTTCCAAACAATTTTAAACTTTCAACTTTATTGGAGATGTGTCCAAAAAAATAACACTTGTTTAATTGTGATTATGCCACTTGGCATCATTACATGCTTTTGCTTCTCCTTTTATATATAAATAGATTTTAAACAAAATTGTCAGTTTACAATTGAACTGATTCCCCCGTTCCTCTCTCTTTTGCCCCAATCCGTCGTCTCGTTTCATCTCACAAAGGTCAAGCATGAATCTGTAACCCACCAAAGAAATTTAAGACCCACTCTTTATACAACAATTTATAAAAGGATGCAACCAATTCATTTTATTTTTACATAAATTTAATACCTGCAGTGTCTTCTTCAACAATTGAACCCAGATATTAATTGGCAGAAAAAAATTCAGGGTAAACTTTCCACAAGATGCAATGGGTTCTCGTGAGGAAAGAGGTCATGGAAGCTTTAATGGCAGCAACCTCAAATTTCCAGAATTTTGAACTGATATAAGTGGAAAAATACTGGTCAACATTGGAAGAAGATAAAACTACTTTGGAAAAGAAACTTTGAATATTTGAGAAGAAGCATGGCTGAATTAGCTCCCTGTTTCTTGCCATGGACTATAGAGTGAACATTTCAGGTAAATTCAAGAGAAGAGGGAAGAGATTAAGGGATTTGGTGAGAAAGATGAAAATGCCGATGTCTTTAATGTGTTGGCAAAGTTAGTTAGAGTTATTAATAGGGGTTTTTCGGGTAAAGCAAAAATGGGTACCTTGCTAACTTACTACCTTCATGTAGTCTATATGGATCTTTTTCTTCCATTATGTCCAATCTTTAGCTAAGTTTACATTGATTCCAAGGATATGTAGGTCTTTTGGGACAACTTCTTTCCATGTTATTTTAGGTATATACTGTTCCCTTTCAACACTTTCACTCACTATAGTTTGACACCTACGGACCGATGCATCTGTAAGTCGATACTGGACATTTGTAGCTGAGATAAGTATTTTTTATATATTTGAAATTGTTAACACATTAAGCAACAAAAACATAAGTCAAAATGAAAGTCTAAACAAGACACAGATTGTAGCGAGGTGGGCAGGGTGAACCGAGGGGACACTATCTCCTGTAAAGGCAATTAGCTATCCTTCAGCACCAACATAATATATACAAACTGGGTCATTTGTCCCTTTCTAACAGGAGAAATTTAGCCTCTTATTTGTAACTCTAATGACCCAGTGTATAGGAAACTAACATTTGTATTACTTTGGATGATGTTTGTAATCTTTAGGAGATATAGTGGCCCCTTTCATGGAAATATATGATTGCTAGTTGAACACTGGATGCCCCTAAGAGATGGCAAGTATTATTCGTTGCATCAATCCTGTATTGGATAGAAAATTTAAGGCCAAATTAACTTATACATAGATTAAGTCATCTGGATGAGTTTCACTTGTTTGATGGACATGCAAGTTAAACTTAAAAGGGATTTTGACGAATAATCAGTCTATAGGAAATAATTACTAAAAGTTATCGATTTTGTGTATTTCGTTTGTGATTGTATATGGCATTGGATTTCCCCTCTGCTCCAGATTATAACTTAAGTTCACTGTACAATTTAATGACTTGAGTAGATGGTATTACCCTTTCTGAAGAAGAAGAGAACTTTTGATGAACTTGATTAATTAACAAGTTCACAAAGGCTTCTTATACAAGAAATCTTAACCTACTTAGAGTATGTTAGGTAATTATTCCATATGCCTAATAAGTTAAGTAAACATTTTATAATTAAATACTCCCTTTGTGTCCTATTTTATGTGACAGACTTTACTTTTAAATCCGTTAAATAAGAATGACACCTTTCTCTTTTGGAAGCCATAGCGGGGATAGGAATTTCACTTGGTAAATTGGGAGACTGTCACAACACCAAAGAGATGGGTTGGGCTTGTGATTAGAGACTTAAAGGTTTTCAATAAGGCTTCGGAAAGTGGTTGTGGAGGTTTGGGGTAGAGGAGAATGCTTTTTGGAGAGAGGTGATCACAGAGAAATACTCCCTCCGTTTCAATTTAGATGAGGTAGTTTGAATTTGCACGGAGTTTAAGAAAAAAAGAAGAGTTTTGAAACTTGTGGTGTTAAAAGCTTAAGGGGTAAAAGCTTTGTGGGGCCATGACATTTGTGTGGTTATAAAAGCTTCTCATTAAGGGTAAAATGGGTAAAATGAACAGTTTAAAGTTGAATTATTTTCAAATTTGAAAATGTGTCATTTGTTTTGGAACAGACTAAAAAGGAAAGTACCTCATCTAATTTGAAACGGAGGGAATATGAGGTTTTGGAGGGGGTGGAGGACAAAAGATATCACACCCTTTACGGGTGGGCAATCGAGGAATATCTTGAAGAGTGGGAAGATTTTAATGGGAATGTACCTTTAGGGCGGGTGATAGAAGTACCGTAAGTTTTTGGAGAAATATGTGGTGCGGGAACAACACTTTGAGTGCTATCTTTCCAAACATGTTCCTGATTTCATGCCAAAAGGAGATGCCAGTCCAACATATACGAAGGTTACAAGGTGGAGAAGTTCACCGGGACTTGAGGTTTAGGTGGAACTTGCAAGATTGAGAGGTTGTAGAATTTCAAAATTTGGTTGAATTGCTCCAGTATATCAAAGAATTACTCAGGTTGGACATGATGCTTGGAGGTGGAGGATGATACATAATGGCGTGTTTACTGTTAAGTCCTATTATGCGAAACTTTTGGTTAGGGAGGAGTCAGTTTTTCCATATCTCTCAGTTTGGATTCCTAGGGTACCGAGAAAGGTGTGCTGCTTCACTTGGCTAGCTGCGAGAGCGGTGATATTGACAGCCGAGACTTGAGGAAGAGGAAGATTAATGTGTCAGTCAGTGCTTCATGTGCAAAAGCTCGGGTGATGACATGAATCACCTCTTATTACATTGTTCGATAGCTTTCCACTTGAAGGGGGAAATATTGAGATGGTTTGGATTTGAATGGGTGATGCCGGGTAGTGTTAAAGAAGATCTGTTCTTTTGGAACTGTAGAAGACGAAAGGGAAGACACATGGCTTGGCACGTTGCTCCACTAGCACTTATGTGGACCATATGGAAAGAGAGAATGTGATAGCTTTTGACAGGGTAGAGAAGGACTTTCTACACTTGAGGAATAACCTCTTTCCTCTGATTTCTTATTGGTCCATGAGGTTCCTATTAGTATAGAAGATTGGGTGTTGTTGGTAGAAAATCACATATTTTTATAAGGTTTTCTACTTTTTGGTGTACTTCTTGTATATGAGTGCTTGTTCACCCTTCATTAATAAAATTTTATTACCTCATCAAAAAAATCTTAGCATCCCCATTTTATGCTCAGGGACATAGACTTGTTGGAATCCACTTAATTTAAAAGTTCATTCTTTTTTAAGAAGAGAGAGAATGAAAAGACATGTGAGTTCTCAATCACTTTGGTACTTTGCATATATTTGGCTTACATGTCAAATGTCTTTTTTTTATTTCTTATACTCCGTGTACAGTCAAACACCTTCACATAAAGTTTGAATGGAGGGAGTACATAATATCCTAACATATTTTTATAGAATATTTCATAATATATTTCTTGCTCAAAAATTTAATGAATCTAGATGTGTGATAACTGCGTATTCTTTTAATATTCAACAGACCCTCTCAAACTTAAAGTGGGAAACTACTAGAGTCTTCCTATTTTTGGAACATATACGCTGTTGAAATCTCTTCGAAATAGTGGATAATCACCAAAAAGTAGTGGTGCTGGAATTCTTTCCTGTGAGAAGTCTCTCGTAACTACAAAAGAAGGAATAAAGTCTGAGCCATGGGAAGAAGGTATGGTGTTGCAAATCTCTAGGACATGATCAACATAGCTTAAATTGGAAATACAATGGCAAGAGATTCAAGATTTAGAGGAAGATTCTGATCGCCATATAGAGGAGGGATGTAGCCATCGTAGAGAGGATGGGACTAGTTGCTAAAGAGGTAAGTGGCACCGGAATGGTCACGGGAGAGAGAAGGATGTTGGTTGCCGGAGAGAGGGGCGGTGCTGGTCGGAAGAAGAAGAGGAAAGAAGAATAGTATTGCTTGGGCAATTATCGTAAGGGCGCCCACTGGTAGGTGGAAGATACTTGAGAATTTACTAAGATGTTGAGGCTATGTTACGATGTGAAGAAAGAAATGAAAACTTCTAATTAACAATTAACATGTATAAGAAAGCTTCTCATGTAAGAGTTTTAATCTACTTATAATATGGTAGATAATCATTTCGTATGCCTAATAAGGTAAGTAAATATTCTCTAATAAAATACATAATATCCTAGCATATTCTATAGATTATTTGTAGTATTCTCTTTACTCGAGTTCAATGATTTTGTACTTGTGTGAATCTAGATACATACTCTCTTAGTACTCTTCTTAGTTAAACGTTAGACGAGGAAATCGCTTGGCGGCCCCTTGTCACCTTTCAGCCTCTCTTAATCTTTGCATACTTCCCACCTGCTTTGGCTCTTTCTCTATCTTTTCCTTCCTCTTTGGTTGACTCTGTCCACTACTGAGAGTTCCATTGTTGAGATGAAGGAAAGACTGGTTTTTTTTTTTTTGTGTGTGTGT